ATGCATAGATGGATGGATGGGTGCATAGATGCATAGATGGATTGATTCAATGGGATGGATGGATTGATTCAATGGGATGAATGGTATTGTGGATTGATGAATGAGAACATGAATGGGTGGGATAGAACAAGTGGATTGGTGGTAGGATGGATAGGATGTATGCATGGACTAAATAGATTGGTGAATAAATGGCACATGAGTGGGTAGGAGGGCCATTAGATCAGATGGAATAAAATAAAAATGAGTACTATACCATATATGCTTCCTTATCACGTTCATTCAGTTCATGTACTTTACTGTCCAGTAGCTGCTCTAGACCAAGTTCTGACCTGCRGCACTCTTTAACTGCTCTAGGATTATCAGTAACCAGAACCACAAATGCGTTGAGTACATGTTCGTGAAACGGCTCTTGAGGTCCTTGCAACAAACCAACAAATTGATCAACCATTCCCATCTTGACAAGAGTATCTACAAAACATAAGTTCAGCTGATCTGAGTGAAATAAAATTACATCTTTGCAAAACTGAGATGTGAAAAATAAAATAATTGCAATAAAAAATATCAATATAAAACTCATGGACTATTCTGCCCCTGTTATCAAGGATTTATTATCTATTATTTCAAATTTTTGACTGCCGGCAGCAAAAAAACAAATTTCAGTATGCAACTTGGAGACACAGAGTTTGCATGTTTATGAAAACTGAAGTAAGCAAAGAAAATTTTCTACCTTAGTTTGTTCAATACAAAAAAAAACTTGGAAAATAAATACAGTAGTGTCGAAGAGTTGAAGAGTGTACAATGTACCTTTATGAGTCAGATCTTCAGAATAGCAGATTATGTTTCTAATTAAGAATGCAGCCTTGATTTTAACTTTTTCAATGCTTCCTTGCATTGCTCTCATGAGGACAGAGAAGCCATCATTATCAATGAATACTTTCTCTCCAGGCTGAAAATTTGTTGTTAAACCTGAAGAAAACATGAAAAATATCAAAATATCTCATTAAAAAATCAAGTGAATATCAAGCAAAAGCATGAATTCCAAAATACGGCCACATTAAAAATAACCAAGCACAGATTAAACAGACCTTTTTAAGCAATGTGTAGTTCCAGAAATTTTTCATAACCCCCTTCCCCACAGAGAAATTTGGAATTTCCGAGGGGTAGCGGGGTCAGAGAAAAAATAAATTTATAGAGTTTGTATGGAAGAGAATAGAAATTTCTTGGGATAGGGGGGTCTGAAAAAAATTCTTCTCAGTGTTATCTTGAGAATGAGATGCTTATTTCAGCTGTATCCATATTCATCTCTTCCTACTAACAACCATCGAATAAAGAAATAATACTCTAGAGAATGAAACTTAGTCTGAAATGGGAAAGGATTCTGCTCAAGGAAAAAGGCTTTACTCACACATAGTCATGAACTTGGGCTGTACACTTACTTGATAAAGCATATAAAGCTTTAATTCTAACTTGATCGGCAGGGTCACTGTCCAATAGCTGTAATAGTGTAGGTATGACACCCATGTCTGTCAATGCCTTTTGACTGTAAGGGTTATTTTGAGATACTACTGCTAGTACGTCAGCTGCTCTCCAACGTAATTCACTAGAACATAAAAATAATAATTAATTATGCATATTATTATACACATTATTAATACTTTAAAATTACCTTTGACTATCTTTGAGATATCTTGCAACAATAGGGAAACCTCCAATTTTATGAAGATCTGCGTAAATCAAAAGTAAACAAATTTTGAGTTACAAATTTGGTATACTATGTTATCCTGACTGYGACCAGTCAATAAACTTGGATCTACAGATTTTGAATAAAGTCTATATACTGCATATTATATATATTGTCAACTACAAACCATTAGCATTATCAATAAAATCAACCATGGATTCTAATTGCTCCAAAGCAGATTCTTTGGAGGCAATAGCATCCTCATCTTCATCATCAGTTTGTTTTGACAGAACATCAAGACAAGCCATCATTCTCTTCACAAATGTGTCTTCACTGAAGGATGATATTGCCTCTTTTAACCATTCTCTTCTCTGAAAATGAAAATATGATAAATGGAATCAGGAATGCTAGGAAATAATTATAAATTACACTGTACTTGTTATATGTTTATTTGCCAATGAGCATTCTTAAGGATATATCATTTGTATCAACATTATCATTACTATTATCATTATCATGTACTCTTACCAGCATCAGTGCTATCTTCATTAACATCATCTACATCACCATTATATATCACCATCATCATCATGTATTATCATCATCATCAACTCCATTATCATCATCATGCATCAACACCATCACCATCTTCGTCAGCATCATCATCATCTCCATCACCATCATTATTTTCATCAATATCATCAAAGTCATGTCATCACCATCATCATCATGTCATCATCATCATGTCATCATACCTCTGGATTCATTTCTTGAAACGCACTTGAATCTTGCGTCCCATCTGCCTCTCCAGTGGTCAACTTCAGCAACTCCTGCAAATTCCTAGGCACTCTAGGCCTATCTCTATCCCCTCCGTCCGCCATCACGCGAACAATGTCCAACAAACGTCTCCAAAAATACTTCAAAAACAAGAATTCACAACACGTGAAAATCACAACACGATAAGAACTGAGCAGAGCCTGGTGACTAGAAAACAATAATACTGATCACCAAATGGTTATCACCGCTGTTCATGCATAAAATGAGTTTAATTAGGACAAATTCAACATGGCGGATTTGGACTATGAAACACAGGTAAAATTATCCAGAGTTTAACACCTTTCCACTACATACTTCTTTCTATATGACAATAGAACATTTATACAATCTATATTAGATTTCATTCGCAGTATATTTTGCTTTTTTTATGGCTGCTAGAGGAATATTTTGAGGTTAGAATGAAGCGCGCACGTTTGATTTTTAACACGCGCTGGCGCTGGAAGAAGATTTGTTTATTTTTAAGCTCTGATTTAATAGGATTGTTGGTTGAAAATATTGTTAATTTTCTCCAATTTGTTGTGACGTTTACGTATAAAATAGCAAAGGCAAGCTCGTGTACTCAAGCCAGACCACAATGCACCATATTCGCTATCTCACAACACCGTATAAGGCATGAAAGGGGGAAAATAGTTAAGTAGATGACAATGCACACTGTTTGCTATCTCAGAAAATGTTAGATAACATTTGTTCAGTATGTGCATAATCAGATACTCCTGAATTTTGCAAGTGGGTAGCCTCTGGTACAGATAATAGCATGTGCTGCAAATGTATATAGTACATGCTTGGGATCATAGGTTTGATTCTCAACTGAACTGCATATATTTGCTTGATGTGTTGTCCTCTCACTTGCCATGAGAGTTTTTTCTCTCAGAAGAGTCCCTTACGGGGAGTGATGGTTGTAAAATATATAACCAATATTTATACTAACTGCTATTAGTATAAACCTTGTAATGGTCTGTCACAAATCCTGCCCTCTGATTGGCTGAGCTCTGAGCTACTAGTGGTGTATTAGTGATAGAACATCAGTAGCGAAAAGTAGCAGTTTTGAAGATCAAAACAATRCAAAAATTAATTATTTCTGTCGAATTTCAACATTGTTTGTATTCATTTACTTTGACCTATAAGTATGCTTATACTAAAACAATTAGATCTGTTATCCTCATGATCTATAAGTCATACCTTTGGCCTCACTCATGGTCTATTGACTCATAGACCATTCAATCTGCACATCTAATAATTATTAATTATACCCGTAGGATAATTCAGGGGGTGGTGGAACCGATAGCAGTGAAGATGTCAGTGATGCTTATAGCTACCTCTATATGCCAGTAAGTAAATACAATGTATCCTTAATACTCCAGTTTTGGGTTATCATTTGCTAAGGGTTTGCCTCAATTTTGTGTAGAATATTCATATGTTCCAGTGTTGGTCTGTGGAATTGCAAAGTGTATTGTTGAAGTTTGTTGTGTCCACAGAATCCACAATAAATAGAGACTTTGATGTTATTCGTCCTCGTGCTTTATTCCTCACACAACTAACTACACACACGATTAAATTACATGTAYRTGTCATGTGACACATGGCGTGACAGCTGGAAGTAATCTGGATATTACAAAGTTGTGCATTCTTTACTTTAACTGTTGGCATTTGTGAATATTTTGACACTGATTCCAGGCTAAGCCTGAGAAAATGAGGAAACATTTCTGAATTATCTGTGGTTTCAGTCTGTTGTAGATCGTGTTCATATTGAAGGTCTTAACAGAACCAAGACAGAGTTCCTTGTTCCAGAGCTAAAAAATATCCTTGATGCTACCACCTTTGGAGAGGTATGGTAGAGTGGAAGTACTGAWGTGTCATCTTCCTTATTCCCTCTTTCCCTCTTTCCCTTTCTTTCTTTCTTCATCCCTCCCCACAACTGCTGTATGTTTAATTCTCAAACTCATTAATGATTCATGAGGACAAGACAAAAAAAATTACTAGCATGAAGGAGGTTTGAAAATGGGTTTTTGAATTTGAGCAACTTATGCTTTAAATTCTTTAAGAATTATTAATAGTTTGAGAAGCCATATCAAGCTCTGGAAAGAGTGTTTCATCCTTTATCCAAACACCTTGAAGTTGGTTAAAAAAACTTGGCTCTGCCTTGCTCACTTCTTGGCGTTTGGAAATCAAATGAAATCTCTTTCATGTGTTTGATGCGTTTCATACACCGTTCTCATAATGGCTGACAAGTGAACGAAAACGAGGTCAACCAGTCATTAGTTCAAAATAAAAGATATAAAAAGCACAAGAAATGCATTTATAGAAAAAAGTATAGAAATTGACCTTTTGTTTAGACCTGAATTCGCGCTATCCACCTTTATTTTGAATGAGCAGCCTTGCTCAGCCTTGCAAGATGACTGGGTGACCTCATTTCCGTGCCCTCGTCAGCCATTATGAGAATGGTGAATTAAATACTGTGATTTTGTGTTCCATCTTTCAGGTGGTTGCTTTTACGCTTCAAGCAAAAGAACTATTAAACAGTTTAGATATATTTAAGAAGGTTGATGTATATATAGACACTAGCCAAGGTGGGTTGCATGCAGTACATGTAAACAATTTTTATAGCAGTTCAAGAAGGAAAAATGAAGGATAGAATGAAGGAAAGGAAGGAAGTAAGAGATTAGCTTAAAATGAATTATTTAAGTGTCTAGTCGTTCAAGTGCTTTTTCACTAATTGGGGACACTTTTTACTCACTTACACTATGAATACATTTAATGTTCTATGTACACAATGCTCAACTCACAATTGATTTTTATGGAGGGAGGAAACTTGAGAACCTGGTGAAAACCCTTATAGCATAGGAAAGAACACAACATCAAAACAAACTCACTTTACATATGGTGTCCGCATGGCTTGAACCAGTGACCCTAGCCTTTGGAACCACAGGGGGGACAGACAACACATTAGCAGCATAAAGTACTCCACACATACTACCTATAAGAGAAAAGGAATAATAGTAAAGGAAGCAAGAAAAATGGAATGGTGTGAACAAAAAGAAGAGGAAGAAAGGAAAGGAGAATGGAAGAAGAGAGGAGTAGGAGTAGGAAAGGAAAAGGGAATGAAAGAAGGGGAAAATGAAATGGTAAAGAAGAAAAGATAAAAATTGTGGAATTTTCTTTTTTAGGATCAAAAGCAAGTCCTAATGGTTTTGATGTGACTCTGACTGTTCAGGAAAAGAGATTTGTTACAAGTAGTGTTGGTACACAAGTTGGGAACAATGAAGGATCTATGGTTAGTACATCGAAAACTATTCATAGTGTCATGATGGTGATGGATGATGATGATGGATGGTGATGATGATGGTGATGAAGATGATGATAATGATGATGAAGAGGGCCACAAGTTTGTAAGCTTTTGCTTTTGGGTGTTACCCTCTTTAAATAAAGTATATTATTATTATTATTATTATTATTATTATGAAGATGTTGATGGTGATGGTGATGATGATAATAGGGATGGTGATGATG